TTAGAAAGTATAGTGCATTAAAACACATGACAAACAAACCTTCAAATATTATTGTGCATTTTAACTTTGGTTACAAATATTTATGAAAAGAAATAATGTTCTATACACAAAGTCTTTAAGTAAAGTGTCACCATTATTTTAAAACACTTGAACACTAAAAAAGATTAAATACTGTATTTGCTTACCTGCCTGTCATGTGATCATTAACCATAATCAAATGTTTAGTTAAAATATTTAAAAATAATAATAATAATGTAAATGTTTGGTTAAATTATTATGATATTAACTTCAAATCTCTGGGGAACTTCAAATAAATATTTGACTCATGACAAAGTTAAATGGCGATCGCTGGTTTAAGTATATTGGATTTTTTTGGTGTTTGACAAAATAATATTGTTTGGGGTGTTTTAGCAGTTATAGGCGCTTTTGTCCTTTTGAGAAATAAACTCCCATGTAGCATTGTCTCACTAGCTGAATTTGTCTACAACAACAGTGGGCACATAAATATCATGGATTAATCACTGTTACTTACAGCGCAGCTCAAATGACATATTGTACTGAATATTAATAGCATTCTGTGTTGGAAATGGCATTTTAAATATACAATACAACAACTGATTCATTTTTCTTGCTAAGGCTAATCTCTCAGCTAACATTTTATGTATTGAAAAAAAAACAATTAAATCATATTTTCACTTACACTTTTTGTGCATAAATGAATAAATTAAGAGACATTCGCTTTTATTTTTCTTAGTTGTCACTCTTCACTCACAGTCTTCTTATATGCTGTTTGTAGTCAACGTGAAATATCAGTTAGAAAAAAAAATTGCCTTTGCCAGCCAGGTTGGATATTTGAACTTGGTGTAATAGATACTGCCATTCATATTTTATGATGGATTTTCATAGTTTAAAAGAGAAAGTCTGCCTCTGGGACAAAAGTATAATACAATAAAACTAAACATAAAAGGCATTTGAAAGAAGAAAAAGAAGAAAATATGAACATTAAAGGCAGGAAAGTTTCAACGTTTTTATGTAAAAAAAAAATAAAAAATCAACCTTTGGGAGATACAGTTAAAGAAAGTTTAGTTGGCAAACCTTTTTTTTTTTTTTTTTTTTTATTGAAACTCTCATCATCCACATGATGTGTCAGAGCGTGTGCAAAACACTAGACCACAGTTCTGCACCATAAGGTTTTGTTCATGCCCTTGGCAGCATTCAGTACACATTCAGTATTCAATAAGTTAATGCATAATATGGTTCATCAGCATTAATGCATGGAGTTGAACTGTATATGAATTTAATGCATATCCTCAATAGCAGGACCTGGAACTGGTGGCCATTTTTTTTTCACCATTTAGTTTTTTTTGTAGGGACCAATTCTAACTATTAACTAGTTGCTTAATTACTAGAATATTGGCTGTTTATACTAATAATGCACATATAAAGATTTTATTCTGCATGACCATATTTTAGATCCCTTAATCCTACGCCATACCTAAACTTAAAAACTAACTTACTAACTCTTAATAAGCAGTAAATTATGCGTTTATTGAGGCAAAAGTCATAGTTAATAGTTAGCTAATAGTGAGAATTGGTCCCTAAAATAAAATGACCATTATCTCATATCCATAACCCACCTGCAGTACATAAATGTACTTGATACGGAAATATACAGCTGCATTGAATGTATAAATCCATATAAAAAGTATGAACTTTTACCCAGTGGTGAGAAGCTCTTGTTTGAATTGAGTCTGTATTTTAGAGTAGAGTTGTGTATTGTAGAGTAGTGGAGATGAGAGAATGAAGGTGAGGTGAAAAGGAGAGAGACTCTCCTGCATGTATGTGATCTCTGACACGCACATGAAAGCGTGCATGTGACACAGACAGTGTTCAGAGATGCTTGTGCTGTGATCAAGACAGCATCAGAGGTGAGAACTCGCTGAATTTCACAAAGCTCTGATACACACGCAGAGCAGCCGTACTGAATCACACACACACACACACACACACACACACACACATCAGCTTCTCTTCTCATTTTGCAAGTGCTGCTTTGATTTGAGGATTGCATGTTTATCTGTAATGCTGCATAATTGGCTTCATGCTCGTCATTACTGCAAACACTGATTCGTTTGGTGACAGAATCTCAGAATCTTTGAGGTGATGTCATAATGAATGATGATCTCATCAGTAACGCAGCTACAGTGTTGTATGAGATGAATTGGATAGACAATGATATGCATGAGCTCGTGTGAACACTTTACCAAAGGCCAGTCACGACTCAGACACAACAATACTATTGCCGACGTTCACGTAAATGTTGTTGGAGACCTTTTTAATTACTGAAAAATTATTTATTCATGAAATCCATTTGGAAGTGAAAACAAAGTCATTTGCAGTGTTTTTATGGCTGAATTTAATTAGCATCAAAGCTCAACACGAATAAAAGTGAAACCATCAAAGTAACATTGCGTGTGTGTGTGTGTGTGTGTGTGTGTGTGTGTGTGTGTGAGGGGTTCCACAAACATCCCAACCAGCCTTCAAAAATCACACAGCACATAATAAAACCGTGGTCTCACTTTCTATTAAGTGTCTTTAACTACTATGTATTGCATTTAAATGTAAGGTTCTATTAGTTAACATTAGTTAATGAATTAACTAACAATGAGCAATATTGTTTTTACAGTATGCATTAATCATTGTTAATGTTAGTTAATAAAAAAACACAAATGTTCATTGTTAGTCCATGTTAGCTCAGATCAATCTATTAACAGACACAACACATTATTGCATTAGGAAATGTTGAAACTAACATTACCAAGATTAATAAATGCTTAAGAAGTATTTTCCATTCTTAGTTCATGTTAACTAATGTTAAGAAATGGAACCTTATTGTAATGTTACCATTTAAATGAATCTTGTGATACAATGCACTTATTGTGTACATGCATACTTGTATTTTAAAATATACCTGCATGTAATTACATCTGTAAATAATTTCAGTAATTACATCAATAACTATACTGTTGACTCTACTCCTTAACCCACCCTTAAACCTTTAACCAAACCACCAAACTGTCCCTAAACTTACCCATAATCCACATCAAATAGCAGCAACAGTGATTTGCACTACAACATAAACACAATACATACATTGCACCAAACAATTTTTGACATGATAGTTTATGATATTATTGGCACAGAAATTACACCGTTCAGTCTTAATGCATTCATTTATTAGAATGCAATAAAATAAAGTACTATATTAAAAAAAAAGGTCACACAGGGCCAAAATTGCATTGTTGAGAGGAAGAAAAAAAAAACACGAGTCACATATCTATGTTGCATGATGCATGTTATTATTACATTCAGAAATAATGTACAATATCGGTAAATGAAAATTTCCAGACATTATAAACTTTAGTGGCATTCATAATAAACAACATTTAGGCTATTATAAATGCCAAACCTATAAACAAATTTATTTAAAGTGCACTGAAACCATTGGAATCACACCTCCGTCATTAAGCACTAATCCAAATGTGTTGCTGTGGAAGTGGTAAAGAGAAAGTGGCTTGCGCGTTTCTGTGCGTGTTCCCCGGCTGACCGGGACGCTGATGAGCTGTAAGTGACTGCAGCTGGGTGTCGTTCTGTCATGAGAGAGCAGCCGCCTGCAGCGCGTTCATATGGTCAGCGGTCATTCAGCGGGCTGAAAACATTTCTGTCCAGTTTACATCCAGAATAGCACTGCTGTTTTTACATGGTTCATATAATTAGCACATGACTGTCAGAAAAATGGTCAGAGATGAGACAAGCTTGAGTCTGATAACAATAACTGTGCCGTCATGACCTTGAAAAATTACTTTTACTGGTGTAACCTAATATAGGTAGATTTAGCCATTTTAAAAGTGCTGTATGTAATTGTTTGACTGTACTAAAGCATAAAATACCATAATATGTTTGCTGATATTTAGGAAACATGTTTCTCTGAAAAACAACGCTACAGCCAGTTATTCTGCTTTGGAAAGTGTTCCATGTCGGAATGTCTATTTTTGTTTTGGTTGTGACTCCGCCCAGTATTTCAACACTCCGGGTTGCCAGTTGGTGGAAAACAAAGCGTTTTACAACCATGAAATCTAGCAAAGAACTGGGTCAGAGATTGCAGATTCTACTCAACCTAAAAAGCTTCAGCATCCATCTAAAAAGCTCTGTGAGCAGAGGCTTATTAAAACGCTGATAAATCAACTCATCAACTTACAGTGTAATTTTGAATTTGGACTGCACCTTTAATAGGATAGTTCACCCACAGATTAAATTCTGTCATCATTTGCTCACCCTCAAGTTTAGGTTAGGGGTAACCTGTATGAGCTTCTTCTGTTGAATTTAAAAGAAGATATTTGGAAGAATGTTGGTAACAAAACAGTTGACAGTAGCCATTGACTTCCATAGTATTTTTTGCCATAATATGGAAGTCAGTAGGGACCAGCAACTGTTTGATTCTTCAAAATCTATGTGCAAAAGAAGAAAGAAGCTCATGCAGGTTTGGAAAAACTTAAGTAAATGATGATGGCTAACCTGACAAAATATTTTTTACAGTTTATGTATTCGTGAAATAGTCATGCCAGCTAACAACTTGAAATGCACATTCTGCCAACTTTATACCTTTCCTTCCTTTGGTCATTTACAAGAGAAACCAGACACTCAATAAATCCAAGTATTGGACTTTATAACTTGGCAGAGTATTAGCTGCACCACAGGGAAACCTTTATGGGTTTTAAGAATGCCTTCACCCAAAGCTCTGTCAATGAAAAATGTTATTGGTCGACTGTGGGAACAAACACCTCAAACTTACTTTTGAGATTTATGTTATTGCCCTGTAGTTGCTTGTTGGTTTTGTTAGAGGCGTTTTTCAGTGGTGTGTGTGTTGATACATAGGAAATACAGGAATTAGACTGGAAATGCACTGAATCATCTAACTGTTGGCTGTTGTATTTCTTCAGCTAATGGCAGTGAGCTTCACATCGGTAGTGTGCGTTATGAAGACACTGGCGCTTATACCTGCATCGCTAGAAACGAGGTTGGCGTGGATGAAGACATCTCATCTCTGTTTGTGGAAGACTCGGCACGAAAGACACGTGAGTGATGATACTGAAGCTGTTTTAGCACAGATTGTAATGATTTTGTGACCTATGGTTCCTTACATGTTATAAAGATATACTGTAAATGGGAGAATGGTGTTGGCTAGAAAGTATAGAGCACTGTATTTTTCAGATTTTTTTCTGTTTTATTTTTTACTTTATAAATCAAAAACTGTCAATTAATTTAAATAATAAAACTTATAGAATTTAACTTTTACATAACAAAAGAATGATTAAAAGTTACATTTTAGGACCCTATAATTTTTGTTTTTTCTAAAGTTGCATTTAATTTTTACCAAATTCTGTGTTTTCCAATTTTAATTGTTATATTAAATTTAAATCAACTAAATTAATTAAAACAACATACTATTATTATTATTATTATTATTTTACAATTATAGGGCCCTGTGCTTTTTCAGAAATTGAGTGTTGTCAATAAAAAAATTTCTGCTAATCAAATTAAGACATACCACATTAACAATTTAGTTCATCTTTAAGTCAAATGAAAATTAAATCTATTCATTCTGTCAATCAAAAATTCATCCAACATTTCCCAAATTCCGTGACATTCCGCTTTATACATTAAATTCCATATTTATGACTGGATTCTGCAATTCCATCCACATTTTCTACATTATGGAACTCATAGGGCCTTAGGTGTACTGGTAGACTCGTGCACACTTTAATGTGGATTGTTGGTTCAGTTATTACTGGCAAGAATTTACAAGTCAGCTCACATGTAATGAAGCCACCAATGCGGAAAGGACAGTTTGTCATTAATAAGGTTTTAATGGTCATACAGCAATAAACATCTGCAAATGTGAACAGCCCTGTGGTGTCTGTGCACACATGCCAATTCCTGTTTCAGAAATTACAGACATTTTCTGGACTGTTAAATTTACAGTGTTCAGTTAGAGTGAAATGAAGGTCTATAGATCTCAATGTGTCCAATGCATAAATGGGAGATTATTTTCTGTCCACTAGTGCCATTTTGAAAGCAATCATTCTGCACTGAAAAAAACAGTAAGTAGATTTACTTAATTTTTATTTTGCAAGTTTTTGCACACATAAATTTTAAGTATAATGTAAGTACTGAATTAAGTAAAGTCTACTTAACTAAGTTAGGTAAAATTAGCAAAGGAAATAAGTAAATTTAACATGGCCAGTTAGAGTTTGATGAGTAATTTCTACTTAATAATTTTGTTAAATATGCAATACTCAAGTACATTTCCCTCAGTTACAGTTTATCAAATTTACTCAAACAATGTAGGACTGGAGAACAACCATGCTATTAAAGCATGTGGTACACTTGCAAACATGTAAGTAAGCAAGTATGCAGCTCGTTATCCTTTGAAGATAATATGTCCACTCAATATAATTATTACCCAAATGAACACAGAGACCTCAATACTTGGTACACCATACACAACAACGGTAACAATCAGTGGATAGTGTTTGAGTATAAATGGGTCATTTTGAGTAGAAAATTAACTCCAGATATCACAAAACAGTAAGTTACTAAACCTAAC